AATGGATAGGCAGGCGGAGGGGCAGGGGGGGCAGCAGAGGCCGCGGGTGGGCGGAGGGGGCAGGCGGGGGAGGGGGGAGCTGGTGACGGGGGAGAGAGTGGTGCAGAGGTTTATAGAGGAGTCAACGTGGAGCGCGGAGGATGAGCGGCAGGTGGGGGAGTTTCTGGACTTCCTAGAGGCTGCTGACGTGGCTAACGCGGCCCTCCACCAACGATTCATGGTGGGTGGACGTGGGTGTGTGGTGGATGCATGTAGGTTCACGTGGGTGTGTGGTGGATGCATGTAGGTTCACGTGGGGGTGTTTTGGATGCATGTAGGTTCACGTGGGTGTGTGGTGGATGCATGTAGGTTCACATGGGTGTGTGGTGGATGCATGTAGGTTCACGTGGGTGTGTGGTGGATGCATGTAGGTTCACGTGGATGTGTGGTGGATGCATGTAGGTTCACGTGGGTGTGTGGTGGATGCATGTAGGTTCACGTGGGTGTGTGGTGGATGCATGTAGGTTCACGTGGGTGTGTGGTGGATGCATGTAGGTTCACGTGGGGGTGTTTTGGATGCATGTAGGTTCACGTGGGTGTGTGGTGGATGCATGTAGGTTCACGTGGGTGTGTGGTGGATGCATGTAGGTTCACGTGGGTGTGTGGTGGATGCATGTAGGTTCACATGGGTGTGTGGTCAAACGATGTGGATGCACTTGTGTGGCTGTCTCACCGGTGGCCTCTCCTCCATCCTGTCTTCTCATCCTTCCCTCTCCGCAGGTGGACTTCGAGCCAGAGTACATCACTCTGGACGACTTCTCACCCATCAACCCGCTGCTGGAGGAAGAGGAGCAGCAGCAGGCGGGTGAGGGGCCGTCGCTGGAGGAGGTGATGGTGGCGGCAAAGGCTGAGCTGATGGCACTCACGGGCATGGAGAGCGAGGAAGAATTCCAGGTGGGTGGGCATGTGTGTTTGTGTGTGTGCCTCTCTCTGTGTCCGTCTGAGCGAGGTCCCCAAGGGCCAGCAGAGCCCCCCAATAGCTGGCGGGTGAAGGGCCGTCACTGGAGGAGATGATGGTGGCGGCGAAGCAAGAGCTTATGGCGCTCACAGGCATGCAGAACGAGGAAGAATTCCAGGTGGGTGGGCGTGTGGCTGTGAGGTTGTGAAGAGGCAGCTGGGAACCCCCTCACCCACCAGAGGCAAATGCCCCTTTCCCTGCAGTGCCATGGCGGGGGGAGTGCAGAAGGGTGTGCTGGAGGGTGTGCAGGAGGGTCTGCTGGAGCTGTAGTAATGCTGTGCGCGGAGCCACAGTAAATGACCCCCTCCCTCCTCTCTTGTCTCATTCTCTCCTTCCCCTCCCCCTGCTCGCACCTCCCCCTGTCCGCCCTGCAGAGCTGCCTATCTCGTGCCGATGAGCTCGAAGCCCTACTGGAGCTGTATGCAGGCCGCAGCGCATCACCCCCTTCTTTCTCCTGCTCTCTCTCCATCTATCTGTTTCTCCCACCATGCCAGTCCGCCCTGCAGAGCTGCCTCTCCCGTGCCGATGAGCTCGAGTCACTGGTGGAGCTGTATGCGGGGCCACAGCGGATGACTGCTCTGCAGGAGAACAAGGCGCTGCAGGAAGCCGCTGAAAGGCTTCCTCCCAGCGTGAACCCCCAGGCTGTGGCGTTCACCAAGCGCGCCCTGCTCACCCTGCCGGTGGGGCTGGTTAGGGCCTTCAGCTTCTGGGGCTGAAGCTTTAGGTTTTGACCACAGATAGGTGTGCGGTGGGTAATTGTTCACAATGCAGGTGGGTGGGTGTGACTGTAATTGGGTATGACGGCAGGTGGATGTGCCGTCTGCCTCCTGAGCAGCCTTTCTTTCATGGTGGTCGTATTTCCGCCTGCTGCCTCTCCACATCCTCATTCATGTGGGCCTCTCTTCTCTCCGCGTCTCATGCTGCCTTCCTTGCTGTGTGGCAGAACAACCCCTCGTGGACGTTTGCACAGAAGCAGAAGATGATCGGTAGCATTGTGAGAGGGTTCTCGGCGTCGGCATGATGGGGGAAAAGGATATTCATGAGACTTCTAGCCTGCATTGGCAGGATGGGAGGTTGGCAGGATTGGAGCTTGGTGGGTTGGGATGGTTTCTTTGAGGCCCGTGGCAGAAGCAGAAGATGATCGGTAGCATTGTGGGAGGGTTCACGGCATCAGCTCAATATGAGGGAGATAGTTACAGCATCAGCGTGATATCTGGCAGGAGGCAAAGATCGTTGTGAAGGTGCAAGTGCACCTCACTTTTGAGACGTGCCACTTTGAGGCGTTGGCAAAACCATGACTCCGGTACCCACGTGGGGGATGCTGCCATAGTTTTGGTGCTCCATGAACTTCCTGTTGGTGCGATTAAAGGATAGAAGGAACAATTTCACTCGAGTGCACAAACCCCCAAGAAACATTCAAAATAATCACTTGTCAAAATTGTAAATAATATGGTCGTTTGCACTCGTATCGCATTTCCACAAATGGTGACCTACGCCCACAAACGAATTTGCTGCCATCACTTTCCAGTGCGCAATGCATCCATGCCCTCCAGTCACCATCGCACACGGAATTGGGGTCGCAAAGGCACGTGAAGGTTACGTCGTTGTGACACTGTCACGTCATTGTGCGCCCAGTGTCGCGTCCTTTTCGCGAATCGATGTTACGAATGGCTGCGACGCACTGACAAGCCCAAGGTTTCTTTGAGACCAGAATGTAATTGCTGATCCTCGATTTCCAGTCTTCTGTCTGATTAATCGTCAGGTTATCTGATTACTTGTAGCGACTTTACCGAGGTGATTAGCCATCTCTTCGTTTCTCTTCCTTTCACAATGCCATTCGGATCGCCAATCCAACGACTTCCTGAGGAGCTGCTTTCAAGGATTCTGTGTTTTCTGGTTCAACCTGACGGCCGGCTGAAACATGCACTTGTGTGCAAGCAGTGGCAGCAGATCGCGTATCGCTTGCAACACGAGCTCCACTTGCCCGACAACCTCCATATGGATTCGCGTCGGCTCGTTCGGTTTCTGTCGCCGTTCATTAACCTCAGAAAGCTTATTTTCTCTCCTGGCAACCTCACCTCGTCCCCAAACTTGTTATTCTCTCACCTCGCCAGCACGTGTCCCAGTCTGACCGAGCTTCATATTGGACCGAAATCATGTGGATCTAATTACGGAGTTGTAGCTGAGAAGGATCTTGTTGTGCTGTTCGAGGGATGTACGCGGCTGGAACATCTGGATCTGCATTGTTCGGAGCACGCTTCCCGTTCCCCCGTCGATCGACCGACTCACATTGCTCAGGAAGTTCAGCCTCAGGGCAAGCGTCACGCGTCTTCCCGACACTCTTACCTCATTACACTCTCTCAAAAGCCTGGTGCTGAACTGTTATAACCTCGAGACTTTGCCTCGGGATTTCGGCAATCTGGTTTCCTTAACGTCGCTGAAGCTGCAAATTGGCTACTCGAGCCATTCGACATTGCAGCTGCCGGCCTCTTTCACCAAGCTTTCGTCACTCGCCGTCCTGGAGGTTCGACAATGCACCATTCTTCCGTCGCCGGTCGATTTCAGTCAACTCCGGGCGCTCGAAACCCTCATTCTGCTTGAAGTGAAGGGAATGCGCGACTTAATTGAGGCTCTCGAGCATCTGCATCGAATGAAGACTCTAACGATCCAGCATTGCAGCGATATCACGTCTCTGCCCGAGTCTCTTTTCCACCTGCCGTCGCTCACCAGCCTCACCCTTGAACTGCCGCGGCTTTCAGCCCTGCACGAAGATATTGGGCAGTTGTCAGAGCTTCGGACACTTTCGCTGAACTTGAGGAGTCTCACGGCCTTGCCTGATTCCGTCGCCCTTCTTATCACGCTTCAAAAGCTCTCCCTCACGAATATCTCGAGCCTGGCGTCTCTGCCCGAGGAGTTCAGGCAGCTGATTTCTCTGGAAACGATGAGTCTGAACCGTCTTTACCACCTCACACGCGTGCCCGAATCCCTCGGGCAGTTGACATCTCTCCGGAAGCTGGAAATTTCGGTGTGTGGGATATTGCAGCAGCTCCCGGACTCCCTTTCCCAGCTATCTTCCCTCGAGCACCTGGAGATTTACGATTGTCCGCGCCTCACGATGCTGCCAGACGACATGGGAAAGGGTCTGCACTCCTTGCGCCATCTTCTCTTGGAATGCAAGGCTCTCACCCACCTTCCCCCATCCTTCTCCAGCCTGACGTCTCTCGAAACCCTCGAAATTTAAGATGCGCTACGCTTCAGGGGCACCTTGCAAGACGCCTTTGGCGGCTTGAAAAGCCTCAAGAAGCTGTCGCTTCACTGCATACCGCGCCTGTCTGCCCTTCCTGCCTCTTTCTCGGGCATGTTTGCACTCACCAGCCTGGAAGTGGGGAACTGCCCTGAAGTAACTAACCTGCCCGAGGGGATCGGACGGCTGGAGGCGCTCAAGGAGGTCAAGATCGTTGGGATGGACGGCCTGAAACGCCTCCCTGCGTCCCTTGGTCTGCTGTCCTCTCTGACACAACTGAAGCTCCTAAAGATGGACAAACTTGTTTCTCTCCCCAACTCCATCTCTCAACACTCGCAGCTGCAAAGGCTCCGGGTTGATTTGGCCAGGAATCTGAAAGCACTGCCTGATGCCCTTGGTGGACTCTCCAGGCTGCATTGCTTGCAGCTAGTTCGCCTATACACAATGCGGCAGCTGCCCGAGTCTTTCGGGCAGCTGAAGATGCTCAAGAGCCTAGAAATCATCGATTGCTACAAGCTGATGCAGCTTCCAGGGTCCTTCGTGGATCTATCCAACCTACGATCCTGCGCTCTTGTCAAGCTCGGGATTTCAGCCATTCCAGATGATATTTGGAAGCTGTCTCCCCTCCAAGATTTGCTGATATTGGGACTGAGGCAGTTGCGCAACTTGCCAGAGTCATTCACTCAGCTGCCTAAGCTGGCGGATCTGCATGTGCGTGAGTGCAAGAAACTGTCTCGGCTGCCGTCTTCTCTCCGGAATATGCCGACGTTGCGTACATGCGATGTCGTTGAGTGCCCTTTGCTCTCCGAGCGAGACACGAGGCGGTTTGTTGCAAGGAGAAGCGAGGACGGGGAGGAGGGAAAGGGAGAGGAGGAGGGGGAGGGGGGGGAGGAGGAGGAGGAGGATGAGGAGGAGGAGGAGGAGGAGGAGGAGGAGGAGGAGGAGGAGGAGGAGGAGGAGGAGGAGGAGGAGGAGGAGGAGGAGGGAGGGGAGGGTGGGGGGGGGGAGGAGGAGGAGTGGGGGGGGGAGGAGGAGGAGTGGGGGGGAGAGGAAACGGAAGGGGAGGAGGGAGAGGAAACGGAAGGGGAGGAGGGAGAGGAAACGGAAGGGGAGGAGGGTGAGGAAGAAGGGGAGGGGCAGGAGGAGGGGGAGGGAAGGGATGCCGAGGGGGATGAAGCGGTGGAAAGGGAGGAGGCAGCGGAGGAAGAGGAGAGTGGTGGTGAGGATGATGACATCAAGCATTTTGCGTTGGACCTGGATGACGATAGTGATCACTACGGCAGGGATGTCGGTGGAGGCTGGGGGGCGAGTGGTGATGATGATTAGGATGAACTGGTGAGGAGGTTTGAAAAAAATCTAGATGGTCATCCCATCCCACTTTTCCATGCCATTGTCTACGTGCACCTTCACGATAGGACATTATTTGTTGAGCCCCAGTTCTACAAATAGGCTTCTTGCACCTTGACACAAGCACAGCTTGTTAACCAGATGCTTACGGTAACATGTTCTTTCTACACCATGCAGAGCTGTCTCTCCCGTGCGGACGAGCTCGAGGCACTGGTGGAGCTGTATGCGGGGCTGCAGCGAATGACCGCGCTGCAGGAGAACAAGGCGCTGCCGGAAGCCGCTGAGAAGCTTCCTCCCGGCGCGTCCCCTCAGGCCGTGGCATTCACCAAGCGCGCTCTTCTCACCCTGCAGGTAAGGCTGGTTAGGGCTTTACGTCTAGCATTTGGGGTTGAAGCTTTAGATTTTGACCACACATACCGGTAGGTGCAGTGGTAATTGCTCACCATGCAGGTGGGTGTGACTGTATATGGGTATGACGGCAGGTGGATGTGCTGTGCTGTGTCCCTCCTGAACGGTCTTTCTTTCATGGTGGACGCATTTCCGCCTGCTGCTCTCCACATCCTCGTTCATGTGGGCCTCTCTCCTCTCTCCCCGTCCCGTGCTGCCTTGCTTGCTGTGTGGCAGAACAACCCATCGTGGTCGTTTGCACAGAAGCAAAAGAGGATCGGCAGCATCGTGCGGGGGTTCTCATCCTCGCACTGATGAGCGGTAAACATACCGAGCGTTTGGCTTGGCATGCCGATAAGGGTTTTTTAGGACTGCTGACCAAAGCAGAAGATAGTCAGCAGCATTCTCGGGGAGTCGTTCCTTGTCGCCCAGATTACATATGGTGGACGTGAGATTCGATGGCAGCCAGAGAGGAGATATGGTATCTTTTTTTTCTAATCTGCTGTTGTGATGGAATTCTGACAGCGTAGTCAGGGCCTCAGATTCGTTTTGGCTTAGGCTGAATCGTCAGCATTTGGAGTGTGTTGAAGGCTGATCAATCAGTGTAGCCTTGAAAAAAAAAAACTGGAAGTTCAGTGTGTCCTTAAAGAAAAAAGCTGATCAATCAGCCTCACTACAGAAAAAAGGCTGAACGTTTCCTACGGCCCAACACACGCTGTATAGATTTAACGTGCGACAACAATGCGTGCGACGAGCCGGAAAGATGCCATTTCCCGGTGCATTGGCTTGGCGGGGAATCTGGCAAATTTGGCACAAATTCGGCGTGAATGATGGTGTGACGGTGGAACGGGCGAACCTAGACATCCGAAAACCTCGGCACCGACACGAATCTGTACTACTGGGATTTCAACCCACACCCCCGTTACAACGTTGATGAGTCAGTGTACACCCTTGAAAAAATGCTGAAATATCAGCCCATACAAAGAAAAATAAGCTGAAAAATCAGCCTGTGCACTAAAAAAAAACCTGACAAATCAGCCCCACTAAATCCCCAGCACTTAACACCTAACCTTTTTACCCCTAATCAGCCTTTTTTCGTTGACTTCTGAGGCCCTGAGCGTAGTGTAGGAATCAGCCCCCTAGATTGGTTTTGGGGCACGCTGATCGACCAGCGTGCACCCCTCGTGGAACTCTGGCTGTCAGAGTTGCCTCGTTTTTCTAGGCTGAAAATTCAGACAACACCAAATTTCAACGCTGAACTTTCAGCGGCTGCATCCAAAATTTAAGCTGATCAGCTGTGGTGTCGTCCGAGGTGCAGCGCGCTGCGAGCTATGCGTTGGCAAGGAATCTTGCCAACGCTGCCTGCTGCGCAGCCGCGATTGGTTGGAATTGAAGCTGATATCGGCATTCCTGTACCAACGCGACTGTGCGGTGCCGCGACGTGCGGGCTTCAGCAGGGCGTGACGCGCGGGCTGCAGCAGGGCGCGACGTGCGGGGCAGTAGGGCGCGACGCGCTGGGCAGGCCAGCAGGGCGCGATGCGCTGGGCTGCAGGGCAGGGCAGTGCGGCTCGCGAGCTGCAGGGCAGGGCGACATTCGGGCCTAAGGGCAGGGCAGCGCGATGCACGGGCTGCAGGGCAGCTGGGTGCGGGCTGCAGGGCAGGGCGGCGCGCGCTGGGCAGGGCAGCAGGGCGCGACTCGCAGGCTGCAGCAGGGCGCGTCGTGTGGGGGGGCAGGCAGTGCGAGTAGCTGCAGGGCAGCGCGACACTGTGCGAGCAGGGCCGGACAGCGCAAGGGCGCTTCGGGCAGGAACGAGCGGAACTATCGGTGGGCCCTGAAAACTTAACAGGTTTCCTGCTCTGAATACCATGTCAGAATGACTGTGCAGGAATGAATGAGCTATGAATGAGTTGGTTACAAGTACTAACCCTAAGGTGTTGTACCCCTTGTAGGCTAACCCACTATATTAGAGAGAACACAAACATATAGTTTGACAGCGGGCGGGGAGGCACCAGAGGACGAAGAGAGTGGGGCTGAGGATGAGGATATTGAGCATGAGTATGCCATGGACATTGACAATGAAATGGGCTCCGGCAGAGGCATGGGGGAGAGTGATGATGATGACTAGGATGAATCAGATGGCAGAATTGGTGCGGAGTGCTGGCAGAGGCATGGGGGAGAGTGATGATGATGACTAGTATGAATTAGATGGCAGAATTGGTGCGGAGTGCTGGAAGTTGAGGATTGGGAAAGCATGAGTTAGGGTGTGATTGTCTATGGAGAGGTGATGCGGTGTGTGGGTACCGCTCAATAGCAGATATCGCATTGCTGTGCAGTGCAAATTGGTCGATGTGATTCAGCTTTGTGCTATGTATGTGTGTGTGTTTTCTACTTTTTACTTGTGAAGATTTCCCCACAACAAGCCTCATACGGTAGTATTGCTATTTGCACCATCAAGTGTGGTTTGGCTTAAAAGAAGGATCTGCATTTGTCCACACTTTTCTTCGGCAATAACATTTCCGAAAGAATCGGGATTTCTGGAGTCGAAGTGTTGGCTCATTATCATGATTATGGTACATGCACCAACAGATGTTTGATCTGATTCCTACCTACGTGTTGGAGTGTTGGACAAATGCAGAATTGAGGTGGCTGGGTAGCAATTTGGTTGCTTGCAGATCTTGCGCATATTCACTGGGTTTCATTCTATTCATGCCAACACAAAGCATTGGTATTGTTGCTACTTCTGCACACCTGACCCACAATATGCACATTCGAACAAGGTGGTCAGCTACAGGTAACAGCTGCTACTGTTGCTGGCACAGGAATCATTCATAGGACTACAGAGTGGACAACTGACTTTGTCAGAATACTGAACGAGAATGAATGCATTGACAAGAAACTGAGTACAAGTACTAACCCTGATTGGGTTGTACCCTTCATGGGCTACCCCACTACAGCCTACACAATATAAACATTATAACATTTTGACACATCCCCATAGGAAAAGTGGGGGAGAACAGGGGGTCACAAGACCAGTCAAGAAAAAGCAAAGCAAACTCAGGGTGGATGACAAAGACACCACACACTCTGAGCACAAGCAAATGACCACAAGGCCACTTCACATGCAAAATTATATAAACGAGAACAAACAGTAAAGTGATCATAACCTAGCAGGGGTAAGCATGCAGGTATATGTATATAAATCACAATACAAGCAAATTCACGCAGTGAGCAAGTGAGGCAAAGTAGGCACAAGGCCTAAAACAGTACAGAAACGCTGATGATCACCAGACTGAAGTGCCTTGGTGAATATATCAGCAGTGTTGCCCGAGTCGCCACGTAAGTAAGACGAAGCTTACCACGCTGCTGCAACTCTCGAGCAAGGAAGTAACGCAAAGCAATGTGCTTCGTCCTGTGCTCCAGTCTGTGCTCTTGACACAAGGCAATGATGGCCTTGTTGTCTACGTACAGAACTGGAGGAGAACGAGGCCGCTCTCTCAAGTCGGTCGACAGGTAGGTGAGCCAGCGTAACTCCTGTGCAGCCATGGCCCCTGCGTAGATCTCAACCTCACAACTGGAACTGAGAACAGAAGACGAGTGGGTAGACCGCCAAGAAACAGAGCCGGAGCCAAGACTGGAAGTGTAACCTTGTGACGACCGATGCGTAGCCAAGTCGTCAACCCAAGACGCGTCTGCATGTCCAGTGAGGACAACTGGACCCCGTCCTCCAAGCACGAGCCCCATGCCCGATGTACTGCACAAGTAGCGCAACACCCTCTTAGCGGCCTCCCAGTGCTCTGGTCGATGTCTCCCGGGCGCAACGTAGCGTGCCCGGATGCTAAGAGGGTAGGCAAGGTCACGTTGAGTGCAGGTCATCAGGTACATGAGGCAACCCACAAGCTCTGGATTCGGGCTACTCGGCTCTATGGACTCGTCCGAAGGTGGAGCTGAGAGCGAGTGACCGGTAGGCAGAGGAGTGGACTGTGGCGAGGAGTACCGAAAGCCGAAGCGCTGAAGGACCTGGTGCACCATGTGTGACTGAGTCAGGGTGATGGTGCGCCGTGCTCTGTCCCGGGTGATATGCAAGCCAAGATAGCTGCACAGCTCACTCAGGTCAGTGCAGGTGTGTCTCTTGTGCAGCTCCGACTTCACAAGGGTCAGTGCCTCAGTGTCAGTAGTGGCAAAAACCAAGTCGTCAACGTACACGAGGATGTATAACGGCGGCAGCGAAGTGTCGGTGTGCAGAAACACCGACGGGTCAGCAGTAGAAGGAGCAAACCCAAGAGCCGCAAGTGTCGTCCTCAGTGTGTTGTGCTACTCGCGAGGCGCCTGGCGGAGACCATAGACTGGCCGCCAGATTCTCCACTGGGTACCTGCAAGGGACGATCCAGTGAAGCCAGGTGGGCGGCGCAACCAGATCTCCTCATGTAGGCTGCCCTGAAAGAAATTTGTGCTGAAGTCAAGAGAGTGAAGCTCGTAGTCACGCTGAGCGGTGTCGTAGGATGCCATCTCTGTGTCCATAGCTGTCTGCCACAGATAGGAGTAGGGACCCGTAATCGCCTCTGCGTAAGAGCGCGGGGTCGTGATGTCTGGTGCATCCGGTTCTCCCTTGGGTGCAAGCAACATGGCCACGAGATGAGGTACAGCAGCTACAAGACACTCAAAGGCCTCCTGCCTGTCCTCAAGGACGTCCGTGCCAAGAGAACACTCACCCCTGACGGATGGAGGATAGTCAAACCCAGACTCAGCAACAAGACTAGCGGTGTAGTCAAGTCGACAGGCGGCAGCAAAGTCAGCAAGCTCAGCAACTAGGGCAGACGCAACAGCGGACTCAAACGAAGGGTCAGTGACAACAGCGGCTAGAAGACGTGTGATAGTAGGACTAGCAGCACGAACTAAGTCAGACTCAGGGTCCGGACCGTTAGCAAGAGAGGACATAGGAGGAGACGGCAGGGGAACTCGCAGTGGAACAGAGGAAGGACGAAGTGCCATAATGTGAGTTCCGGGGAATGGAGGAAGACGCAGACGAGGAAAACGATGACCAGTGCGAACAGGCGAATCAGGACGAGACTCAGGCTCACGACGCTCTGTAAGAGAGTCTGTCTGCTCAGCATAAGGAGAAGGAGCAGGCAGTGGGGAGTCTGGCTGTAACTGTGGCTGCGACTGGTGAGGCGGTAGACACAGTAAGGGAGGAGTAAGGCCAGTAGAAGACGGGAGAGTAAGAACATAGCGAAGGACAGAGCCAGATGGCGGCAGAGACGACGGCGGCGGCGGAACGAAAAACGGTCGCCGCTGCACAATGCCTCCAGCACCAGTA